GGGGCGGCTGCCGCATTTGTTTATTCATGTTTATTCACCTTTGCAGATTAGCAAAGGTTGTAATAACCACCTTATTTGTAAATAGTATACTTGTCTTCTTTCTTTCCTCTTAATTCTTCTTAATATTGTATTAGTCTATTGTAAATCATTCCACAAATAGTAATCTGTAATACTCCTAGTTTATCATAGTTTCTTCTGTATATTGTTTGTAATGCTTTAGCAATACTGTAAATTTATGGTCATGCTAATAAAGCTATCAATTACCATAACACAGACCTCCTACTTAAAGTCAATCATATGTTCCCATTTGACCATAATTCTCCAATCAGAAAGCTTCGTTCGTGGGCGAACGAAGTCTCCCAGAATTTAAAGCCATGCCAGCAGGCGTTTATTAGTACTAGGCCCACCTAAATAAACGCCTGTTCGCAGGCTACTATAGAGCCACAATAACGATCGAAAGAGAAACATTTGACCACAACGGACACGAATACAATAGAATTCTTGACTATTTAGCTTTCTTCAGTTCGGCTTTAATGGCGTTTGTCTTTATAAATATAAATAAATGATATATGAATGTCATATGACTAGATTATTCCCACACAACACAACGTGACATACCGGGAGAAAATATTTCACCTTGCAGGCGCGAGTGCTCAGTCTGGTACGAACTGCATTCATGTCATTCTTCCATTGCTTAAGTTTGTTATGACACAAGATTTGAATCTTTAGCCATATTATAAAATACTCCTTTTACCTCCAGCAAATTACCGGGTGTGTCAAATTCTAGTATTTGTCCTTCAGAGAGAACCATAATCCTGCAGATAAATAAAAATAATTCACTTATATCATTATATTAATTGTAATATAATAATTCATTATATATTTATTTATTCATTAAGATCGTCAAGTCTGCAATATCCAACGATGAACGAAAATTATACAAATGCTTACGTCCTGTCTTCTGCATGGAGAGGGACTTCCTGAGGGAGATGGATTGGATGCGAAATACAAATGCATCCATAAGTATTCAAGTTTACCAATTATTTTGGCGACAAGGTTCGCTTTAGCTGAGAAAATCGTTTATGTAAATCACGAGTCAGTATCCGATTTACAGATATTATTTAAACATACTTTTTTTCTTAAATCACTACTTAGTTTTTAGTTGGTTTTAAATTTGGGGTGTTCGTCAAATTTTGATTTGAAATGATCGGAAAAGACTTCTCAGATCGCTGAACACGGTATGGTCGGAAAAACTTTGAAGTAATATATGAACAACGAGAGCGAGTGTTTCACCGGGATATCCAAACACGAGAAAACAATGTATGAAAACACGAGCGCGAAGCGCGAGTGTTTTCATACATTGTTTTCGAGTGTTTGGATATCCCGGTGAGACACGAGCTCGAGTTGTTTATATGGCTACTCAAATGAATCGATTAGGAATTCTATTCAAGTAATTTTGCATGCGTAATTAAGATATTTGATGAAAACACTAGTGATTTTCATCAAGTTTCACTGAGTTATCCAAATGGCATCTTGTGATCAAATAGGTGATTATCATTGGCTGAATTGCTCATGAATTATTAATGAATTTGAGAACACAAAGTTAAAAAGCCGAATTCACCCGAAGCATGTTGGAATTTTTGTAAAAACCTCCACAATAATAACTTCAATTTAAAACAGATAAACAACAGTTACCTTGTATGATCCATGATAGTGTTAAGTCGATGTGCAATAGTAAGAACAGTACAGTCTGAAAATTCTTTACGAATAGTTTGTTGAATAAGTTCATCAGTTTCTAAATCTACAGCAGCCGTTGCTTCATCCAGAACCAAAATTTTTGTTCTCCGTAATAAAGCTCGAGCTAGACACACTAATTGACGTTGACCAACACTAAAGACAATAAATATGATCTCAAAATTCCCGAAGAGCACTAGTGTATGTAAAAATCATTCCTAATCCTAACAGATGTAAGTTGATTAAACCACTGTTAATAGAAGGCATTAAACCCGCTTAAAGAAATTTGGAATTTAGTCACTACTTAAAATGAACATTGTTTAAACTTCTCAGAATTTTTTATGACAACTTCGTATTCTTGGTAAAGCGAGTCAATCTGACAGTCTTGGTATAGCGAGTAAGTCTTGGTAAAGACAGCTCACTGCGAGTACTTTCATCCAATCATAATGCTCGACAATTGTTTAATTAGATACAAGCACTTGCAGCTAATTGGCTAGCAGCATGTTTAAAGATTTGTAATCCAGGCATATTATAATTAATGAAAGTTCTCCGGATTGAATCATACTTTTATTGAGCTTTAGAAGTACCGAGTCGAAAGCTCAATAAAAGTATAATTCAATCTGGAGAACTTTCATTAATTATATATATATATATATATATATATATATATATATATATATATATATATATATATATATATATATATATATATATATATATATATATATAATGTGACATCTAATGTTGGTAAGGACTATCTTTATTTAGTATAATTACATAGGTGATTATTGAAAATTTCCACGCTGATTGGTTGCCGTTGAGGTGATTATTACGCGATAATCACCTAAGCGATTTTCAAAATGGCGGCCGAAGCCTTTTTGTCAATTAAATGACGAAGAAATGTGTATTTTTTTATTTTTTCCATATAATCACCTATGAAATTATACTAAAACTATTATTCACCTCAGGCTCGGTGATTATCGTGAATAAAAACCTCGACTTCGTCCCGGTTTTTATTCACCGATAATCACCTCGCCTTCGGCGAATAATTGCATGTTAAATATATATATATATATATATATATATATATATATATATATATATATATATATATATATATATATATATATATATATATATATATATATATATATATATATATATATATATATAGTATATATATATATATATATATATATATATATATATATACTATATAGTATATACAATATAGTATATACAATATAGTATATACTATATATATATATATATATATATATATATATATATATATATATATATATATATATATATATATATATATATATATATATATATATATCGTTAAAGTAACATAAGCAGTGTGATATATCTTGAGAAACTTTTGTCAAAAACTAATTCTGAATAAATTAAATACATTTTGTGTTTGGTCGCGTTACCGATCACATTTGGCCTAGGCTTGCCCAGCAAAGTGACGTCATAGATTTTGAATACTTATTACTTCCGGAGCAAAGTGACGTCATTGACGGCATCCTTTGTACTCCAGATGGGGGGAGGGGTTTATTACTTATAGACATGCAATAACAATACTTTTTACTATATTTTTGTAAAGTGAAATTTTGAGAAACAATAATTTAAATTGACATCAATAGTTGCTGTATATGCTTATTATTAAAGCAAAGCATTTATTAATTAACTTGCAACTCAATAATATTGTTGGCTGCACCATTGCTATCAACAATTGCTTTTAAATCGAGTGATTGTTGTAGCCATTTGTTGGCATTGTAGGAAAGATAAGTACAGCATCTGTTTTATTTTTACCATTATTCTGTTGTAATTATTAATTTTGTATCACAATGAATGTGTGTGATGAATGTTCATGACAACGTGAAATCCAGCTGTATTAAAGAAGCTAAACCACGGCTAGCCACATGTACGCAGTGCGTACCTATTTTTACTATTTTACAAGTTAGAATGCTCCAGATTATTACATACTATTATATGGCAAGTATCACTTCCGGTGAAATGGCGGACTGTGATTCGCTGATCTAGAAGCACTTTCAGCGATCCATTATTTCCAGTAATGGACGCGGGCGGTCCATTACGTAAAATTGTTTGTTTCAAGTATAAATGCCTATAAATACCATATAATAAACTTTTTATTAACCTCGCTTGCTCGGTATCTACCTATGCTATGTACAGAGAAATATCTGACTTCGGTCTTTTTGTACAAACATCGCCCTACTGGCTTGCTCTGTACAAAAAAGACCTCGGTCCGATATTTCTCTGTACAGACCTCGCTTTGTATCATTCCTTTGATTGAACAAACTGCAACTACCTGAAAAATATGAGAAGAATTTCAACGTTTCGAGCGAAGGCCCTTTGTCGGGAGTTTACTAACGGGGGTTGGGAAAATTACATGAATTTTTGTTTATAAAAGCGCTCACGTCACAAAAATGAATTTTATATTGCTAAATTTCCTATCCAAATACTGCGGGCCACTTAGTGGGAAATCTGCCATAATTGGGGTTATGCATGGAGTAACATTGCTGCATACATATCCCTGGGAGATAAATAATTGCTTTCATGCGCTGATTTATGCTTGTAATAAGATAAATCAGTTGTTTCAAATTTTCGGGTGGTGACTTGGCCATATAGCGGTATACCACTATATGGCCAAGTGAAAGTAACTAACTACTATTGCCATTGAATATGTACTGTACGTTATATAACGATGCAGGCGGAATGTAAGATGCATGTAGGATGATCGGCTGCCAGTATGACACTGCCGCAGCCATATCACTGCAGTGGTAGACACTTTGGTAGGAAGGCTGAATTTAGGTTGCCACTACACCTTTTGAATTGGTGCTGCAAATCTCTGTTCTTTAAATTTCTGCCTCAAATTTCTGGCAATTTATGGTTTCATTTATTCTCAAGCTATGCTTTAATCGTTGGAACATATTTTTACTATCATTAAAAGGCTTTCAGAAATAGGAGAGTAGTTTGCAGTCCATACTACTTTCCTGTTTAACCTTTGTTATGCCCTAAACAGCTTATTTGTTTCGGGCATGGTGTCTAGAAATTAACAATGGATTTGTCATAAAATTATTACATACTTTCATCAAATATTTCACTACGTATACTACAGAGTGGCTCAAAAAAGTGACACTGTAGAAGTTATCCTATTGTTGTTAAACACAAGATTTCATGCGCCTGATAATTGAAAATTAAATTCAATTGGGTTTTTTCGCACTCTTGTGTTTAGCATAGTGCTGAGGCATTCAAATTATAACAATAGGATAAATTTCTATAGAGTCACTCTTTTGGAGACACCCTGCACGTACAGTATGGCCTTAACGTATTTGTAATAAACAGATCTATGGGCACAGAATTACTTTAATTAACTTAACTGAGTGTTATTGTATACTCAAACAAAGAGTCTTGTATCCGCACAAAAATTCTATGCTAGCTCGATATGTCCGAACATAAGAACAGAACGACAAGCCAAAACCCCAACACTGAATAGAGATTACTAACGCAAATGAATGGAAGAAAATCTTTTATTACATTTGTTTCGGGAATTCAGCCATGTCAGTCAGCTTTTATGTCGATATTTTGTATAATAATATACATAAAAATATTACTCGACTGTGATTGGTTGATTTCAGTGCAGTTAACCCTAACAGCAGTGCAATTTTCTGTAGTCACAGTGCAATATTTTCTAATCACATTGCAATTTCCTGTAATCACAGTGCAAAAATCGGTAACAAACTGATCTGATTAGGGGGTTTAAAGCAGTTTAGTTCAAACTTTAAAGAAGTAACGGTCACAGATTGTTTCCAAGCAAAACAAACATCGTGCCGCGCTACATAAAGTAAAAGTTGACTTCGGTTGGAAAATATAGCTTTTATCTTTTTTTTAATTGGAAAAGCGTTTATCTTAATTAAATAAGACTAACAAAACTTAAATAGAGTGGAATTTTCAAGCTGTTAGCGTTGTATAATGTATTAATGTGATATAACAAAACCAGGAAAACTTTGCCAGTGGACGGTTCGCTATAAACTATACTCCCGAATTGTCTCGAACATTTTTATGTACATTATTAACAAGTAATAGTATGGTTTCTCGTGATATCTGGATAAACGTGCACTCGTGAGTTTTTCAAAGAACTCAAATAACACTCGTCCTATTTTGAAGTCTTTGAAAAACTCACTCGCGTGCATGTTATATCCAAATTGCACTCGAAACCTATACTAACAAAAGTGTTTGCCATGATATAAGATACCGTATCTTAAGGCGGTTTTCCACTAGGCGAAATTTTTCGACCGGACCGAAATTTCTAGCTATTGTTCAAATTCTAAAGATTTCTGTTTAGTTTCATCTGAGTGCTTGTGAAAGCCTAGTTTCCATTTGGTCGTTAGTTGTCGCTAGCACGACAAGTGACTGATCTAATAGAGTGTCGACAAAACTTTATAAAACGCTGCAATCATTAAGACTGATTTGCATATAACACACAAAGGACTATTGTTGTATTAGGCTATTTCACATCCACCGCTTGTCGTGCCAGCGATAACTAACGACCAAATGGAAACTAGGCTTTAAGGCGGTTTTCCACTATTCGACATTTTTCGACCGAATCTAAATTTTCTTTTGTCTTACAAGCACTCAGATGGAACTAATCAGAAATCTTTTGAATTTGTACAATAGAAATTTCGGTTCGATCGAAAAATTTCGCTTAGTGGAAAACCGCCTAAAGAGAAAAGAAAATTTCGATTCGGATCGCACGTAAATCCTCAATCAGAATCAATGAAACATTTACTTGTATTTGAAACCTTGCAAATAAATGTAATTTCGATGACTTCGATTAATATTGTACGATTACTTGTACTTTTGTTTCGTTTACGTCGTGAAACCAATTTCCGGTATCGCTGTTATTGATCTCACGGCAACCAATGAAATGAAAATCTCATTCCGTTCCTCCTGATTCATACTCTGGGTACGAGGTTGTGATACATTCGAAAACTTTTCTGTCCGTGGAAAATTTTATTGAGTGGAAATGAGCCTTCCAGGTCAAGAAAAATTTTCACGGATATATCATTGTTAAGAGTTGAAAATTTTTAATTTCTAAATTTTTTTCCGACGGAAAATTTGAGTCTGCCAATAAGAATTTAAAAAATATTCTTTCTGCGGAATATTTTCCTGAATGGAAATGGGCCTTCACGGGAAAATCGTAGAGGAAAAATTCCACTGGCCACAAGAACAGGAATTAAGGGCAGAATAGACGAGTCCCTTATTACGTTTTCATAGCGCTTTGCATTGTGGTTATAGTGGTATCACTGATATTCAAGATGGTTTATTTTTTGTCCTGACTCGTGCAAGAACTTGTAAAAAAAGCTAGGGTCAAGTGCGCGATATCCAACAGCAAAATATTAATCGCGAAAACATTCAATATTTAGTTTATTCGAGGCCGCTATCTTTATCAGTGATACCACTAAAACCACAATGCAAAGCGCTACGAAATCGTATAAGGGAATCGTTTATTTGGTGATGCAGTTCTACGTATAAGTTACTACAATCACTTTCAGAAGTTGTTGGGACACATGGAGTTTTAGATTGTAAGCGGGTCATTACAGTTTTTTACACACAATACCGCTCCCCTACCCCTACCCCTACCCCACCCCAATCAATGCTGCTCCAACCAAAACACATCAAACCTGACGAGAAATGGGACACAACATTGAACAGGGGCCAGGGGGGATTGACGTTTTGTTGAAATTCAAAGGTTTTGTGGCATCTGTCCCAAGACTTTTGAAACTGATTGTCTGAAAGGCAATGAAAGGCATATTTAACCTCTTTGAATTACCGGGTATTTTAGAATATCAGTTTCGCAAAAATCATATAGCATTTAGTATAACATGTTTACTGAATTGCATTGGCATATGTAACGTCCTTACTGTGCTTCGGTTGTGGTCAATATCTTTGAGATGTAACACAATCCAGCAGTGTATTCTAAATGAGCTTATACTGAAAGATGTGAGTGTGGGGAGGGTAGTATGCCGAGCGATTAAACCTGGTCTATATGCAAGGGAGAAAACACATCTATCTGGTTAATTATCGACCTAGGTTAATGCTAAATAAAATGCAAAGGTAAGTTATCGAAGACCCCTTAAATATTGTGCATATTTGACATGAAAACAAGTATGTAATATAAAACGGCTTGAACACGTGCTCGGTTGTCACTTTGAAACACATGGCATTTTTATTGATATAACTTTCAATTGTCGCGGCATAATCATTTTCAGAACATTAAGTACCAAGCAAACGTGTTTAGAGAGCGCTTATTGATATATTACGGGTAATTGTACTTAATCACAAAGTATAAAAATTGAATAAAATGTATCGATTGACACTCAACTCTAGAAATATCACTATGATATATCAGATTTATTTATGTAAAAAAGTGTCAATCGGTCCAAAACTTGGTTTAATCAATTTCAAACCCATTCCGCATTAATAGCAAACACATTGTTAGACATTCTCAACAGATTATTCTTAGCCTTGTTCTGTTTTAAAAGATGTCTAGTTGCCTGTTATTTCATATTTCTATAGTGACAATCGATGTGTCAACCGATGTTAGTTTCATTGCATTCGTCTCGTCCGGAAACGCTTATTAGCATAATTAGCGTATAACACTAACATCAGTGTTGTATAATGCGTACAACGCCGTATACTGCGAGTCCCTTTCGTTACATATTTTTGGAAGCCTGTGCAACTTTCTTGCTTCGGCGGGTCGCGCTAGTACTCGTTAACGCGTCAGCATTGGGGAGGTCTATAAGCCCTGGGGAAATCACCAAGTCCGGGTCTTCCTTTACCACGTACGAATACGCTGAATAGTAATTTTTGAGATTGTCTGCGGAAAGGTTCAATTAAATGCCACATTTACTTTTCTCGAGCTTTCCGATAGCTCGCCACCTCGATCTTGTGGACAACTTTTTTTGCGGTGTGGAAGTGACTACCGCCCATTCCATGAGCCTCCGACATTCCCACCTACTTAGTACTCCTTCCTACCCATGCGTCGACAATTATATTTGCAAATTGTGCGCTAGAAAGATGTGAAATGTCACATTGACCATAAGTGACTATAAAGCAAACGTTCTTTACCTTCGGAGTACCCGAATTAGCAGTTGACTCAGCCGTTACCCGCATGCGAAAGTAACTGGATGTTATATTACTATGCTATAAATTAACAGTAAGTGTGACATATCTAGCGTAAAACATTCGCGATACCTATCTTTATATTAACGGACTATATAACCTCTCAAATAACCCACTTGTGCTCTGCCGAAATTTGTAAAAACAAACAAAGATTAAGAATGCTATATGACATAACATGTTATATTCATATCCTGTTAATTATTAACTTTGAGAAATTTATTGGAACTTAATTGTTTTAAAATGTTATATTAGATCTTCTGGGAACGAAATGGAGCAGAAATACTTCGTTCGCAGAGCATTCTATCCCCTGTACTTTTTAGATATACAATGGTGTTATGGCATATGGGGCCCAGATTGTAGCTGATAAAATGGACTAAATTTAACAACGTCTTTCCAACGTCTTTTCAGTCAGGGCCGGAGCTACGGGGAGTGTAGGGGGTGTGACACCCCCCAGAAATTCTATTCCAAGCTTCAGTCGGCAGGACTGCTATTTCAGTCGATAGACAAAAATATTTTTGACGAATAAACTACTACCGATATGATTTTCACCTGTTATATAAGAAACGAAATTTTGGTTACTCGAAATTTACTCAGCAGGATAATCATTAATCTGTTAGTAAAACAAACCCAGATTGACAGTTAAACCACATAGCGATACAAAGTATATGTAGCATGTTTGATATGTAGAACCGCTGAACACAATATATTGCTGCCAAAAACTCAATTATCAAATATGGCGATTTAGAACAGGCTTTATTTAGAGCACAACGGCCGTAACTTTAGGGACTGCGAAGCAGGGGGGGGCAACAATTTCCATACATGTAATTTTTGTAAACTAAGAATACTGAAATCATTCAGACCAGTTGACAATATATTTATAACTTATTAATATAAGTATTCAATCTATTTCCGGTTGGATTAAACAATTGACGGGCAATGTTAGATTAAGGTCCCACTTACACGATACCGGATTCGTATCGGAGCGGCATCAATTTAAGGTGTTTTCCAGTTTTGTCTGCTGTTACAACTTTTTATATATGAACTTTTTGTTTAATTATGTCAGTCGGTTAAGATGACGTTAACCCCCCCCCCTGAAAAATTTCCTGGGAGCGGCCCTGATCTCATTTTAAATCTTTTAATGCAAATTTCAACTCATCGTTATTTTAAAAATTGATTGTGTTCATAGTTATAAACATGGCAATACCATACCAGAGCCTTTGAACTACGCAAAAGTTCTGGGTACGAGTTTCTGGCAATATTTGCATAGCGGGACTGAACCCAGTCGGGCTGGCTACGCCACTGATATTTTTCATCGTTTACTATAGCTAGTTCAAGTCCTATGAAAAAACCCTGCTTGAGTTACCAGGTAAAATTCAAGGGGTACTAGGCTATGTCTATCAGCTATCAGTTACCAAATTTTGTGTGATGTCAATTATAAATTAGATAAAAGATCCTACAATCATAAAACAATTAATCAGGACAATCATTATAAAAGTGTCATTCAAACAGCATTGTAATATCTATATAAAAAAAAACTATTACAGGCAGCTTTTAGACTATTGTCGCAGATCATACATTCATAAATAAACGTTACGCTGCCCTTCCCCCCTCCCCTCCCCTCCCACCTTACAATATTGGTTCCCCGGCTATTTCTTATCGCAAAATTTTGTGCAGTACTCGTGATTATCATATGTTCTCGAACACAACATTGTATGGCGGAAGTGGGGTAAGCACAATTTAAGCCCGAAATATTCTACTTTCTTTTCAAACAATAAACGTTTTCAACTTGTCCCAAAGTAATTCTTCCATGACTGTACATTTACGGTCATGTGTTGCAAATGAGAATTACAAATCATATTGCATGCAATTAAGAAACACATGAAACGATGTAAAGAAAGTTTTTGTTTAATTATCAAAATTCATTATACAATTAAAGAAATCCATCGTGAGCACATGAGGTGGTTGTGGATTCGTTCGAGCCAGAGGCTCATGTTAAAACAGTGTACGACATAAATTAATTTTTGCATGTATATATTAATATACATTCGTCGATTATTACAATATTAGGAAACTAACATAGACTGTTTGTTATAAACTATAATACAAAATAACAATATATGAAACTATTTTTTTGAAAGCCTTTAAATGATAGTTGAATAACTAAGTATAACAAATATGTAACTATATTTTTTCAACCATTAAATCATTGCTAGGCTATGAATTATTATATTTGCACAGAATCTAAGGCAAAAAAGTTAAGGCACCAAGAGTTCCATCTACAAAAGGAGGTCAATCAAATCAATTCGTCAATCATTGACATATTTATACAAAATGTCAATATTTTGAGGTCATCACGAAGCTATATGAACAAGTTCTGTGATTGGTTTATTATAGCAATCATTGAAACACCATAGAACTGAAGAATAAATTCTTTAAGCCTGGTTCACACCAGCAATTTTGTCGGTGATTTTGTGTTTCTGACGGATGCAAATGAGTGAACTCGCACACAAAAGTACACAGTCTCTTTTCAGAAGTAAACAATTCTAACTCTTTTGGATGTCATTCAATCGATCACATTTGCCAGGAGGAGAAATATCGCCGACAGTATTGCTAGTGTGAACCAGACTTTGACGAAAAAGTCACAAATACTGATCACTTCTGTTTAAGCCAGGGAGCTCCATATTTATCTGAAGCGAGAACTCCTGCCCAAAAAAGTGAAGCCAAAAATACAGCTATTGGACGTCAGTAACACCTCCGGTATAGCGATACGTTTCCTTAGAGAAAACTAGAAGACTGTTTCAAACCTTCCTAGCTAATGTACGTCACTTCCGCCATTATGGTTTCACTTTCTTAGATCCGAATGATCTATTCTGAAACTACACCCGAGTGACAAACGAGTACAGACGACTAACAGACGTACGAATAAATTTTCTAAATAGAACTAGCCCGGCTATCTTTAAAATATGGAATCGGAAATTTAAGGAAGGGGGGGTGTGGAAGTGGAGCAAACAGGGAATGGTGCTCGAGAAATTGGGAGCAGGAAGACGGGAGTACTGGAAAACCAGGGTGTGTGCGAATTGAGGCCCACCACGACAGTGAGTGGGAGAACCACAAAACCGTATAGAATAGGGATTGGTGGGCTGGGGAATGGGAAATGTGGAAATAGTTTAACCGAAGAAACTGTGGGAGAGGTAAGAATAAGAAAAATAACCTTAAAGTTTTTAGTGTTTCACGCTGGCAAGCATAATTACTGTAACATATCTCTACAGATATATAGAGAGAGTGAGCTCACTGGTTTAAGCAAGCCAATCATAAAACATGGTTCATATTAATTCGTTTCGTCACAAACTTTTCATGCTTAGTTCAGACGTCGCGCTATCATGAGCCAGATTTGCTCCAAGTCTCTCAAATTGGCTTCATTTTTAATAGGGTCAAACCAGTCTGTTATGAGACCGTGGTAACGAGGTTGTTATGAAATAAATTTCGTTTTCAATGCGTCGATCCAGTCTATTGAAAGATTGGTGTATGGCTTGAAACGAAGAATTAATTTCATAACACACCATCAAAATATGAAGCGCGATACTTCGAGCAAGTCTACCAGGACAGGACTTTCAAGGACTTTCAAACCATGCATTCCCCTGGAAAAAAAATATGTCAAGCCGGTTTGGGAAAACAACAAGCTAATTAATTATAGCTTTTATAGCTATAATTAGCTTACAGTAATGTTGTTTTCCCAAACCAGCTTGACATATTTTTACAAATGACCAATTACATGCGAGATTCAAATTCTGAACCTAATCAAGTGTGGAAGTGGGATTTGCAACCGATGTGACCAGAGGCTCTCCGTTCTCGTCTCTCGTTTATTTCGCCTCGTAAAGATGTCGTTTAGGAGTTAAATTACTTTGAAGCCAATGGCTTTAGGTTGTGGGAATGAAACATTCGACGTCTGAACTAGGCCTTAGCTTCATATTTATATATATTTTTACACTGTAATCTATTTGGCTACAATGTACGTTGACAAAAATTATCCATGTCATCATTTTTACAGTCGACAAAACCACTGATGAAGAAACCCTTTCTTTCAACGGCAAAGAGTAAAGCCCATAATTAATACTGTAGCAGTAAATAGTACCAATGACTGTAGAACAGTGGTGAGCATAAATTTTCCTGAACCAATGTAAACAAGAATCTCATAACCTGGCTCTAAAGAAAACCACAATATTTCCTTTTAATTCATCAATTCTCTATAGCGTAAATTCTCATATCATCTATCAATCCCTGCTTCCTAGTACGCCTATACTATATCTTCTCTTTCGAACAAACCTACTCTATTGAGCCACCTGATCTAATACGCAATTTGCCTAATATGATCCCTTCTTTTTAAGCTTCCATAGCCACCGCCCACACAACCCAGAAACGTATTTTTAATGATTAGATTTATAAATGGTCTTGGACGTTTAGCATATTTTAGATGATCTGTCTGAACGAACTTGGGCATAGATATAATTATAGTTCGTTTGACCATTAATTTGTATGCGTATAAGCACAGCAAATTGATTCATAATTGATTGAAAATGATTCATCAAGATGAAGTATGCAAGCAAGATCATTGACAAGATAATTTATTTTGACGGGCAATCGCCAATCGGTGTATTTGAGTTAAATTATCAGACGAACTATCTTTTCTTTTCCCATGTTCGTCCAGCAGATCATTCCTCTCTAGTTTGAATCAGACCCTTGATTTATTACCTTCTAGATTTCCGGGTTTTTTGGATTTGTTGTGTTTCAGCGTTTCCCCCATCATAAGCCTTGCATGAAGTATCATTTTCAAGATTGACAATCTTCTCTTCATTGCTTGTCAAGGTAATTGTTACATTACATGTCTTTTTGCTTTTCACTACGCAGCCAGGCAAGCACTGTTGGTACGCCACGTACTTAAATTGTGAGTAAGCCTTCTCGTGTCCATGGATGAGTTTATATCTTGGTTGAGGACTGTTGCAAGCATCGCACAGACGTAGGAGATTCACTGGATTGTTCGAATAGTTCGCACTGAAATAAACTTCTGGCACTGCAAGACAAATTCACCGAAATTAAAGTTGCTGTATAATAATCACCTTTTCTTGAAATTGTGACCTGCATTAGGAAGGATGCAACCATGAAACGTCACTGAGTCGCAAGTTCAAGCCTGAATATAATAATGCGTCTAGGGTTTCCGCCATAGAGCACAGCTATGGTCGAATAGTTACTTTTTTGATGAGAGAAGAAAATCTGGTGTAGAAATGCCGGAGAAAATCCCTCGAAATACTAGATAGAAGTTCATAAAACATGCAGGCAGAACCTACTTTTAAGGCTTTAAAAGCTCGGCGTTTTCCGCTAGGCGAAGCCACTTTTCCTTTTCTCACCATCGCTTATCACGTCAGCAAAAGCGATGCCGGCAACAAAGGAAAATGTCACTTCGCACGAATAAACTCGTATAGTAGAAAACGGGCTTTACACGAGTTTCACGCCAAGTGAGACGAAGAGTTTCCATTAATAAGTAACCTTGTTTAACTCAGAGATGATGAGAGAGCTCGTGTGTTCCCTTGATTATATTGTCATGCATCAAACTATATGAACAGCGTTTATGATTGCCAGGGCCGTAACATGGGTATTACGGTCTTGGGGGAGGGGTGAGCTTTTTTTACCCTACCAAAAGGGCGTGGCGGAAATCATGCACGACGGACATTTCAGGCTCTAATTAATATTTCTTTACCAAAATTGTTGGCCAGGGGGTGGGGAGAGAAAGAATGTTCGGGCATACCATTTTTCACTAATAATACTTTCGTTAATTTATCAAAATGTTTCCGACAATTACTACTTTTCAAAAAATTATGTAAATTTTTCCGGAGAATTACATATATTTTGCCAGACGAACCTGTCGTCAAAATTTCTCGATAAACTGCAATATATATTACAACCGATTTTGGGTGTCGCACCCCCTCCCCCCCAGGATTTATGCTCTCCCCCGGGAGTTACGCTCCCCCCAGGAGTTACGTTCCCCCAGGAGTTACGCTCCCCGGCCCCCAGGAGTTACGCTCCCCCCAGGAGTTAGGCCCCCTCCAGGAGTTACGCTACCCCCGGAGTTACGCTCCCCCAGGAGTTACGCTTCCCCTAGGAGTTACGCTCCCCCCAGGAGTTACGCTCCCTCCCCCCCCAGGAGTTACGCCCCTGATGATAGCCAGGTGACTATAAGAATAAATCTATAGAACAAATTTTCTTAAAAAAAAGAAAAGTAATGACAAACAAAAAATTAAAAAGTTAATTATACTCATTGTAAGCTGAACTAACCTTCGTTATTAGTTATGGTTTTATACAGTTTCCTGTTCCTGTGCGTTAAGAACCCACATGTGCAAATCGTGTGATTATAAATCACATATTTATAAAACTTCTTTTTATTTCTTGGATCCCGATCTTTGTTTGTTACATCTGGAACCACTATCTCAATTTCTTCCGTTTTTTCTGGCACGGGATATGATCCAGGATGATTATTGCATTTGCCAAAGTCATCTTTAACACAGCGATAAACATCAATGAAATATTGAGGTCTGGATGGCGGGGTGGTAAAGGTATCATTGTATATTGAAACCACTTCTCTTCGTGGTCCTAAAACAAACGAATCAGGTAATGGTAGGTTTGAATAAGTGGTACAGTGGGTGAGCGTTCTTAAGTGTAATTCTTGTTACGACTACAAGCATGGCAAGAAGAAAATTCTACTTGTCGACCAAGTCGAACCCGTGATCTTAAACCAAATTAAACTTTAGATATATTTACTCATTCCATGCAATTGGTTCAAATTATTTCAAATATTATAATATCTTCCAAAATAGGTGTTTCAAGGGCCGGAGTGTTCGACACCCCATTAGTTACCGACGAAAAGGACGTAATCCCACTTATCCCCACCCTTCGACTTCTAATTAAGACAGGAGATGAATTTCAGCATCCTCGAAGGTGACTCAATTTGATTAAAATTCTATATTGTAAAGTACTATTTCTAAAAACTAACTGAAGCAGCAGCATAAGTGATAAACGGCTTATTGACCGAGCGTGAGGTCTGTACTGTGAAATATCAGACCGAGGTTTTTTACGATGGACCGAGCGACGAAGGAGCGAGGTCCATGCAAAAAACAGAGGTCTGATATTTCACAGTACAGACCGAACAAGCGAGGTCAATAATCGGTTTATTATATGGTCAGACTGAGTCTGTGAGCATATGCTTTTCGTGCGAATTAAATCGGCTATCGTCAGTTTTACTGGGTAATAATATACGGTAGGCATGCATGCTCAATCAAAAACAATTTGGTTGTTTGAAGTTGGATCTGTAAATTTAAATGACACATTAAAAAGCAAAAATTTGTTCTGTTTGCAAAGCAAAAATTTCCCGCCAGATAAACGACATCCGGGACATCGGTCCAGATACCGAAAATACGGACCACGGTCCGGATATGGTTTTTTACGGACCGCTTGTCAACCAATCAGAATAGAGAATTTTGAAAAGCCATATAATAATAAAATTTTATTGACAACAACTCCCTTATTTCAACGATCAGCGTCACATTTCCAGAGTTTGTTAACAACCTTAGCGAAAAGTAGTGGTTGCGCAACAAACCCACCCCCGCAAGGTACAGGTTTCTTTTCACAAACATGTTCTAGCCTGCCATTGCGTGGAGTTCATACTGCTTTTAAGTAAATTTGCTTCCATGGATATTCCACAAGTTATAATAAATTGGATACGTAGCTTTCTCACCAATGGAGAGCGACGTGTGAGAATAAGTACCCATGTATCTGATTGGAAAATAGTAAATGGAGGCGTGGCACAAGGGATTTTTAGTCATGACCGTCGAGCCTAACTGTATATCCAATTTACAGAAAATGGTCAATTATATTTCTACGTGGCTATGAAGCTAAATATTTCCAAATGTAAGGAGCTTATAATAGATTTCAGTAAAGATAAGAGGTTTTTTCCACCTTTAAAGGTAGCTGACAAAACAATCGATTGCGTGGATTCTGCACGAATTTTGGGTACGTACGTACAACACTTCAAAGCAATATGAAATGGAATATTCACGTGGAGAGTATTATAAAGAAAGCCAGTAAACGGTTATATATGTTGCGAATACTAAGAAGGTCCAATGCGAAGATGGAAACATTGATAACTATTTACAAAACAGTAATCAGGCCAATATAATGCCTGTCAGGCATTTGTTTCGAAATTGGAGTCATCCTGAATCACATCCAGGGAGCTCAAAATATATCTGGAGCAAGAACTTCAGTCATTCGCCCTATGAGAAAAGTGAAGCCAAGATGGCGGCCATTGACATCCAATAGCTCTGAAAGTTGTAACTAACAGCTTTTTATACCACTTTCCCCAGCTAATTCCAGTTTTTGTGTAACGGACCGTATCGCCAACCAAGTAATCAGCAACCGTAGTGTTATTCTTTAAATTAAATCGATAGTTTGGCACTACTACGAAATTTCGAAAATACGAAAATACGAAATTTCGTAACTCTCGTTGCCAAGATGGCAGAAATTGAAGGAGCCATTGGACGTCAGTTCCAGTCCCTTTCTATCGTTTTTGACTGCGCGGTTAACACGAAGCTGGCTTCACTTTTTGGATTCCAATTCTCGCTCCAGATATATATGGAGCTCACTGGTCACATCCTGGTAGTGATAAGTGGCTAGATAGTGCTAAGATAGTGGCTAGCCGCCTCAAAAAACTAAAGATTGGAATTACCTGTTATTTCACTACCAGTTTCTACAACAGCTAGCAGGATGATCAATACCAAAACGTTCAGCCCAACCTGTTTGAAGTTTAATATCTTGATACCTAAAGAATGAGTGAATAAATTCAATTTATCAAACACATGCAATCCAGAGCTACAACATGATCAAAATTTTTATCCAGTGTTATGATTTAATTCAAACTTTATCAAACATAGACAGATTTAGCTAACGTAGTTTACATCGTTGCTACCCAGTTCAGAACTCATGCCTAGTTACGATTGTTCTAGTTAAAAGAAGCATAGAATAGAACAAATAGAACTAACTCATGTAGATAATTCTAAAACTAGTTACCTTTGTTCTACTATATGTCTCGGTAAACTACTGCAGAAAAATAGTAACTATAGGCATGTGAGTCATCCGAAGTTGTGAAATAGTAAAAACAAATTTTAGCCAAATTTGTCTGGTATATTTAACAAATGTAAAACATTTTCCGTGTTGATATGCAATTATATCAACACGAGTGGAAATTTGGAAAACGAGAAATTGTGTGGAAACACGACACCCGAAGGGCGGAGTGTTTTCACACAATTTCGAGTTTTCCCAATTTCCACGAGTGTTGATATAACTGTATATCAATACGGAAAAAATGTTTTATATTTGTTTTATAATATAGCACAAAGAAATATAAAGAAAGAAATTTTCCGACGTTTCCGTGTTGACATTGAGTTATATCAACACGGCTCCAATCAGCGTTAAGAATTTATAAATGCTATATTATAAATATTTATAATATAAGTGACTGTGATATAACAGACGATTTGATTGGCTAATGCGCGTGCATGCATTGTGGCGCAATAATGCACTGTGATCTGTGGCCACTGCCTTGCTCTTTCTCTGTTTTTCCCCGCTTCATCACTGCTTTTTAGCCAAAAATATAAACAAAACTATAGAGCTTTTAAAATACAAAATTTACCAGAAAGCAAGAAGGAATAGACCAAAGGAACAAAGCAATTTTCTATAGTTCTACGTGTAAAATTGACCAGCTTGACATTCGTCGAATTTGTTGTTGTCTCGACAAGTTTTGGGTAAAAGCGTACAAAATAGTCGAGAAAAAAACTTGAAAAAGATACAGGAAGACCAAATACATACCAAAAGGTAACAAAAACTGAATATAAGTGATTTAGAAAGTACCTTCAATCTAGATATATTTTCGGCGAAAGACAAAAAATACAATAATTTCGAAAATTAAAACTGAGTATAAACACTGCGAAACCTACGATTTACCGTCTTTCATGGCAAATCCAGCAG